CCTTAAAGGCCGGACTTCAAATGTTACATTGGGCATTAGGGTTTCAAACTCCAAATTCTGAGGGACACCGTTCATTTTAAACACTCACTATGATCTGGATGCAAGTTATTAGAACTTTCCCTGCTTTTCTTTTTCTCCTTAGAGTTCTGTTATGCAATAGGCAAGAATCTCGCCCAGGTGAATGGTTGATTAGGAAGTTCTTTGGCTTCTTACCAGACTCTTGGGCCAGTGGGCACTCTGTGCCTGTCTTGACTTTGGCTAGAGCAATGCTGAACAACATGGTGAGACCAAGTGACAAGCAGATGGAAATTCTGGACAACAAGGCCATCCACGAGCTGGGGAAAGCTCATGGTGTTCTCAAGCCATGACCACACTGGAGAAGCACTTTTGACTGCAGACCTCAACATCTATCACTAAATCTGTAATTTCATGGCCTTGAAAGAATTTGTGTGCTTTTCCTTGGTTGTTTGACTATTCTCAGCCACACAGATCCAATCAGGACATGACTTTGCTCTGTATTGGTGGCTTATGGCCTGATTATACATGTGGATCACTCAGGAAGCTTTTGAAAAATGAGATTTATAGGCCCTGTTTCAAATCTTCTGAATCAGAATGTGGGAGATGTAGGCATAGGAATCTGTGGTTTTATTTTGCTTAAAATTCCTCTGATGGTTATGGGAGAGAGCTTTGAGACACTCCTCTGCAATCACAACAGCAGTGTAACCCCTATGTGCCATGCAGACGAATGCTGTGGTAAAACTTGACATTTTTGTTCTAATTAATAGCATATAACTGTGTAAGTGAACACTGTGCCTTTACTACTACTTTAAATATATAATAAAAAATTAACAGTTTATATAGTTCATGGGAGAATGAAATAGGGCAATGAAAATAAATGCACAAATCCTGGGTGCCTCTTCAATGGTTCGAAAATATTAGTTGTACTAGTGGTGATGGGCAGCTTTTTGGCCAATGCAGTGATATAATAACAGCTATCATTTATCAAGTGCTGGCTATGTTCCAGTCCTTATATATATCATCTGTGCTTTAACCTTCCAAACAATCCTTATAAAATGATATTGTCCATTATCACCTTTTCTCCTTTTTTTTTTAAATCCTTATATCTTAGATGGGGAAACTGATGCCTTATTTAGGGATCCACAGCTGAAGACCTAAAACTAGGAAATGGCAGAGTCAGGATTCTAACCCAGCTCAGCCTATTAACCACTCAACAAAAGAATCCTGTGTCTGTATATTTCCAGGTGGTTCCAATGAATTGTTAGTACATATCATGGATGAATAAAGTTGAAATATTTGGGTTTCTTCATTGGTCTATGGTCCTTATTATTAATCAGGATGTTCACATGGTGAGTAAGAATCTATGGCACCGGACTTCAAAGGGCTCAAGGTACTGTACCTCTGAAACTATGGCAAGGGAAAGGAAGATGCACTGGGCTGGGGATGTGGCTCAAGCAGTAGCGCGCTCGCCTGGCATGCGTGTGGCCCGGGTTCGATCCTCAGCACCACATACCAACAAAGATGTTGTGTCTGCCGATAACTAAAAAAAAAAAAAAGAAAGGAAGATGCACAAGGAAAGGCTAAAGCCAAGAGGAGCACATGGTGCTAATTATCATGGAACAAAGGAAGGTGGTAAAATTTGTCTTATGTGACAATTCGGTCAGCTGTTTTCCTATTGAATGCCAACTATATTTCAAACTTCAGTGGACACTGGAAGAGAAAGGCCATCCCCTTTAATAGCAGGTATACATTCTCAGGAGTTTGGGCATTCCCGATGTCATTCATTCAGAAGAGAGGTATCGGCTAGTGCAGGGTGGTATCTTCAACTGTGAGATTTAAGGAGAAAGCATATCTTACTCCTGCCAGTGGGCTTCCCTAGCAGCTGAACTTTGCAGACCCCAAGTATATTTTGGTGGTAACAGGCATGGGCTCCAAGAAGTAAGGGAGACCTTAGGGGTGGGTACCCATGAAAATATGCTGAGCACTGTGGGCTCTGAAAACAGACAAACCCAGGGTCAGTAGTAAGTTATCGGTTCTATCATTTCCTTACCCACAAACCTTCAACAAGACTTGTTCAAACTTGCATTCTGGTCTCAATAGTAAAGTAGGCTGATAGAGAAGGATCTGTTTTCATCATTGGAGCAGAAAGAAAAGCAGCGTGCTCCCAAAGTCCTGCATTGTGTTGAGATGTGAACTTCAAGGAACAAGGCCCAATCACCCCTCCAGAGGTCAGCAATGAAATGATTGAATTGTTACTAAGGAATTAAGTGCATTTCCTCCCACATGAAAATTGGGAATTGAGAAAATTGGGCCTTGCTGGACAAAGAGTTTATGTTGGAAGAATGAAGGGGAAAAGTTGGCTGGGTGGCTGGGATGTATAGTGAAAGGTTTTTAATTCATTAAGAAAATGCTAGGGGCTGGGGATGTGGCTCAAGCGGTAGCGCGCTCGCCTGGCATGCGTGCGGCTCAAGCGGTAGCGCGCTCGCCTGGCATGCGTGCGGCCCGGGTTCGATCCTCAGCACCACATACCAACAAAGATGTTGTGTCCGCCAAGAACTAAAAGATAAATATTAAAAATTCTCTCTCTCTCCTCTCTCACTCTCTCTTTTTTTAAAAAAAAAAGAAAATGCTAGTTTAAGTTCTTCTTTTCCTATAGTTATTCCTTTAATTTCTTTCGCCTAATTGCTCTGGCCAGTGCTTGCTTAAGTGGTGAGAGAGGGCATCCCTGTCTTGTTCCAGATTTTAGAGGGAATGCCTTCAGTTTTTCTCCGTTTAGAATGATGCTAGCCCGAGGAAATGGATGGCATTAGAGCAGATTATGCTGAGTGAAGTTAGCCAATCCACCAAAAAACAAATGCCGAATGTCTTCTCTGATATAAGGGGGGTGACTCAAAATGAGGTAGGGAGGAAGAGCGTGGGAAGATGATTACCTCTAGATAGGGAAGAGAGGTGGGAGGGAGAGGGAAGGAGAGGGGGAATAGCATGGATGGTGGAAGGAGACCCTCATCGTTATACAAAATACATGTATGAAGATGTGAGAAAAAAAAAGAATTAGATTAGGTAGAGAGAAGTGATGGGAGGGGGAAGGGAGAGGAGGGGGGAATAGAAAGGATAGTAGAATGAAACAGACATTATTATTACTGTGTGTATATATGTGACTGCATGACCAATATCATTCTGTAACTTGTACACTCAGAAAAATGAGAACTTATATCCCATCTGATTCAAATGTATGATATGTCAAATAAAAAAAAATTTTTTTAAAAGTTTATTTCCAGGCCTTGGGAATATCTCCAATGAACAAGTTAACCCAAGGAAACCAGCATATGTTCTGGTAATTTCCTACAATGAAAGGGGGCATCTGAACTAACATTTGATGGTTTCTGTCTTCCAGGATTTTTACAGTTAAAAGAAATGAGTACATTAAAAAAGAAAAAAAGTTTAGTAATACGCAAGTTCTCATTTCCATTCAGTAAGTGTATTCTATGGGCTAGGTCACCTAATATGTGAAGAAATGAAAGTTAAAAGATATTGTCTTTATCCTTATAGTATAAACTGTTGTGGGTAAGTAAATAAATAAAACAATCAAATAATCATGGTAGGCATTAAGAAAAAAAACTAACTTGTTGCTCCTGCAATAACAGAGGAATCTATTTTAGGAATGGTGGTGCAAGGAAAGTCTTTCTGGTTGAGACCAGAAGGGAGATCTACTATTTGTAGAGCTTTCAGTGATGAGCAATAAATAAAAGTTTTAAGCCTGGGACCCAGATAAAGGACTAGAGTTGAACTGGAATGTTAGGCAGGATCATGCAGGGCCTAGTAGGCTTTGGTCATCAATTTAAACATACCAAGTACAGTGCTAGCATCTGGGACTTCAGCTTGACCCTACCTGGTGAAACTGCTGCCACTCAAAAGACAACTCTGTTTAGAAGGAAAAAAGGTGGGCAGGTGCAGTGGCAAAAGTGTTAATTCCAGCGACTAAGGAAGCTATCTCAAGTTTGAGACCTGCCTCAGCAACTTCCCCAGGCCCTAAGTAACCTTGTGAGACCCTGTCTCATAAAAGAGGGATAGAGATATAGCTCAGTAGTAAAGCACCCACTGGATTCAACCTCCAGTACAAGGAAGGAAAAAAAAAGGGGGGGGGGGACCATAAGTCAAGTTTGTTTTCTTCCCCACACAGCAGCCAGCACGTTTTTTTTCCTAAACATCTGATAGCAAACCTTGCTTACACCAGTCACCTGTTTTCCTTGTTGAGGATAAAGTTAACACTTTGTGTAAGTACTTAACTCGTTTTATCCTCACTAAATCCCTCAGGTTAGCGCAGGTAACTAACTCAAAAGAGACCATACATGGGGATGAAGTAGGATTCAAACCCAGTAGACTAGCTCTAGTTCATGTTCTCAGGTGGAGCCTGGCAGGGAGGATGGAGGAGGTGTCGGGTGCGGGTCGCGGGTCCTCTTTGGGCATTTGGCCCCATCTGGTGTTTACGGTGCACTCAGAATATTAATGTACAAGTGAAAGTAGTTTAATTCACAGAAGTTCCTCTTCCCAGCGGCATTCAGCATGGACCTGGGAGCCGGTGGCCCAGCCCTTGTCTGCGTTAGCCTCCTCCGCCACCAGAGGGCGCCGCGGGCTGGGTGCCTCTCCACTAAGCTCTCATCCCAGCAATAATGGACACAGACGACGCGATGCGCCAGTAAAACCGCTGCGGGGGCGTCTCTCCACTTCTTAACCGGGCACGTAGCTCCGGCTAAGGCCTACTGGTGCTGGAGCAGCAGGCAAAAGTTACCTCCAAGCACGCAACATAAAGTATTCGTTGCCAAGCTGCCGCGGTGCGCACTGCGTCAAGCCTGCGGCAGGAGGAGGTGGGGCCCGAACCCTCGCCCCGCCCTGCCCACCCATCGCACGTGACCGGTACCGCAGCCTCGAGGCCGGAAGCGCTAGTGGCCTGGTGCGCGCTCTCGCCTTCCCCGGCATCTGCAGGGTTCTTCCGTCCCGGACCTTGGCCCGGTCGCGCGCTCGCGCTCGTTCCCGGGATCCCGGCCCTGGGCTCAGCGCCGGCTGCGCGCGCACGCTGCCTGCCGGTCCCCGCCCCCAGGCACGCCGCGCTCCCTGGGCGCCTCCGCCATGTGCTCGTTAGCGTCGGGCGCTACCGGTGGGTATCCCAGCGCCGCAGCACTGGGCTCTCCCAGCTTCAGGCCTCGCCGCGTGGGGCAGGTGGGGGACCGCCCCCGCCCGCGCGCCCTCCAGGACGCGGTCCCGGGCGGCGGGGCCTAGCAGGGAGAATGGAGGAGGTGCCGGGTGCGGGTCGCGGGAGGACGGGGCGGGGGATCGCTCGCCCAGGGAGAGCCCTCCGCCCGCCCCGCTCCTCGCCCTCCGGGGTCGCACTGGTGTCCCAGGCAGATCTGATCGTTGTGCGTGTATTAGGCGGCCGGGGCGCCGTGGAGGATGAGGAGGACCTGCCAGAACTGTCGGACAGCGGTGACGAGGCCGCCTGGGAGGATGAGGACGTTGCAGAGCTCCCCCACGACAAGCAGCAGACCCCCTGCCTGTTCTGTAACAGGTTCGTCCACCTCAGCGCCCAGCCTCAGACCTAGGGTGCCCCGTCGCTTGGGGTCTGTGTGTTCTGCAAGGAAAGACTGGTTCAGAGTTGAACCAGTCCTGTCCTTGAATTCTTGAACCAGTGCTTTGGGGTGATGGCGTGTAGAAGAGGAAGACCCACGGTGGTTTAGAGGGAGGAGCCATGAACTGGAAGCCAGGTTATCCTACTGATCCTCAAGCGGCCTCAGTTTCTTCCCTCTGTGTAAAATGAGACGGTTTTGGATTGGATTTGTGGTTTCCAAATCTGGTGTGCACCCTTTCCACCAAAGATGCTTAAATACTGATGCTAAACTCTTCACCCCAGTCCTTTAAATCAGGGAATCTAGGAATCTTATGTTTTTTTATAAGGACACATTTTGATACTATGTTAACTAAATACTGACACATTTTGATACTGTGTTAACTAAATGCTCAAGGTTGGAAGCCACACTGAACTAGGTAATCCCTAAGGACCTTTCCATTTTTACTGTCCTGTAATTCCTTGACCAACCAGAGCTTCTCAGGGGTAACATTTCACTTTGAGCCATTTAACTGGTCTTAGTTCATGTTTCTTAAGTAGTGGCTCCCCATCTGGTGAGGAAGGAATAGATGCCTTTTTCACTTAGGAAAAGAGATTGCAATGTCTATAACTTGTTCAAGGTCACAAAGGTGTGGTGTTTTTGTTGTTGTTCCCCAAAACATATTCCACTTAAAATTCTGCCTCACTCTCAAGAAACTTTGGCTTTGGTTGCTATGGTTAAGTGAACATGAAAGAGGCCCAATTTGTGTTGGTCATCATTACTTTAATAAATATTGTCTTGTTATGCCCTATATCTGGGCATAGTCCTGATTGGTGGTATGTTAGTTCTGGAGTGTAGCCTCATTGGATAGGTAGAAAGTCTGCACATACTCTAGTTATTATAAAGTCATATATAGAGAGAGGACATCAGTGATGCAGCATTCTGTGGTAGACTACATAAATACTGCAGATAACCCATCTTGGTAAACATTTGTTGAAAACTAAACACTGCATATGTGCTAGGCACATGGAAGAGGAATGCAGCATCTCTGCTGTATATTCCTATCTTGGGTATCCTTTAGTTTGGCAGGTCTCATAATAAAGAGGCTTGGTCCTCCCCGTATTTGAAATGCAGGTACAATACAAGATCACTTTTGAAATATGGCACTTAGAGAATGTGCCAGCTGTAAAATTACATTTTATGCTTTATTTCTAAAAGCAGATGAGCTGTGTCAGATCAAAGCCTCTGAAACCAAGAGTTGACACTTGGAGGAGAAAAAAAATCTCAAGTAGGGAATTTTCTTGACTTTTTGAGAGAAACAAATTCTGTCAATGGGAGCTCTTTTTCATAAAACTTTTTATAATTTTACTGATATTATTTGGCAAATAAATTAACTTGACATTTAAAGGGTGGATAATTGTTTTACATGTTAAATGGGATTCAGAAGTACTAATTCTCATTAGAAATGCTGGGTTCTGGTCCTTCATCTACAAGTGTGTTCGTTACTTCCTAATTGAAAATAAACTAAAAAACTGGCTGGGTTAAAAAAAAAAAAAAAGAAAGAAACGTGTATAGTTAACATAAAATCAGTGCTCCATGAAGTCACCACTTGATTTTTTTTTTTTCCTTTATCAGGCTATTTACATCTGCTGAAGAAACATTTGCACACTGTAAGTTGGAACATCAATTTAATATTGATAGCATGGTCCATAAACATGGTGAGTATTTCTTAGAATAAAGACACATTTACTTATGAGATTTAGGTTCAGATTTTATAATTTTCCACACCCTGTTTTATTCAAATCTATATGGTGAAATATATATAACTACAACTTATAGAAATGCTTTTTTGACAGGTGACCCTTGAAGAAAAACTAATGTCATTCTTCTAGATAAAATTCACTGTGTTTAAGCTTATAATGGCTTCAGAGCTAAACAAACAAAAAACCAAAACTTGCCATGTGATTGCATTTTTTCTAACCAAAATTAGGGAAATCAGGGTAGAGGTGGACTTCGGGAAATGAGGTAAGTCATATGAAAACATACAGGTCCAACTACAATGTGAATTTAAAGGACTGCAAGATTGGGTTTTATGGGTTTGGTAGAAAGTATGAAATAAAAGGGAGTAAAGAAATTAAGGTGGTATGCAAAATACTTAGGTAATGTTTCTATTGTTGCATTTAAAAATAGCTTTCCTTACCGAACTAAATGTAGAATTGGTCTTTTGGTTCCTTATTTGTTAACAACTAGAAGAAACATTACTGAGGAATAGCAAATAAAAGACAGGTTTTTAGATCTCTAATAAATATCTGATGTTTATAAATCATAAATTCAAGTGCACAACTACTTTTGTAAGTTATGTAAAGTTAGCCTCATTTTTTTCTTCCATTTTTAAATGTACTTTTAGACTGATTGGAATTATACTTTAGGTTATATATATATATTATTGTTGTGTATGTGTATATATATATATATATATACATACATACATATATATATATATATATAAAATACCTAACCATGTAGGTATTTTTTTATGCTATTAAAGCTTCCTCATAACATCATTTCTCAATACTAACCAATTTCCTATGATGAATAACAACCAATTTATCTTCTGACAAATAATAAATAACCAATAGATTACTACTTTCCTTTGTCTTAAATGCTGCTTCATTTCTGGAAAGATGCGAGAACCAGATAATAAGCCTCATTTTTTTTTTTTTTTTTTAATGAGCATCATTTAACTTCATGGAAAAGCCGGTAGACTTTGTATACTCCGTCTTGGCAAAATTATAATTTTTGTATAACTTTTATGAAGAAGTTAGGGATTTAGAAACTTTCAGCTCTAATAACCCCCCCCCCCTTTTCTTTAGAAAACAAATAATTTAAATTTGTCATCTAGGGTTGTTTCTCAGATAAAATATTCAGAAGTATCAAAATTACTACTTATAGTTCTTAATAAAAATCTCAAAATGTAAGTGGTGGTTTAGAGGTCAGAAATATTATACTATCTAATCATAGAAGCTTTTATAGAACAAATGATTTAAACAAAACTCATTAAAATTGAATTATCTTTTTTCCCCTTTAGGACTTGAATTTTATGGATACATTAAGCTAATAAATTTCATTAGACTTAAGGTAAGTTGGCAGCTTAATTTATCAGTTTTTTTAAAAATTTAAGAAATGCTACAGTGCTTATCACTGCAATGATTATTCAAGGGTATGCAAGAAACTGTTATTAATCTAGCATTTGTCACATTGTAAGAATCATGGACTTTAGGAATTAGCACAACAAAGCACCAAGTAAACGTGTACATATACTTAAAAGTGTCATTTTTAATCCAGAGATGAATCAGTACTGTGTGAAAAAGTAATTCAGTGTCACATAAAGAGAAATACTAATAGTGTTTCTATAAAACCAGAAGTACTTTCTACTGTAATTTCAGGTACTTTCCTTGCTGTTTTTTGTTTTGTTTTTCCCAAACACTGTCCTTTTTTTTGTCCTACTTAAGTGAATGTATTGTCACTTTCCCTAAAACCAAAAAATATAAAACTCTGCATTGAACTATTTAAATAGTTCAATTTTAAATTTTATTTTAAAATAACAGTTGAATATAGGCTCCTTATATAGAGATATACAGTTTTGTACAATGTAATTTTGATTTTTTGTTTTGTTTCATTTACCTGGTTTTTTACCAGGGGGATTCATGATTACATGCATTAAATAAAACATGCAATTAATTTTACATCCAGAATCCTACAGTTGAGTATATGAATTCCATATACAACCCAGTGCCTTGGGAGAAAGAAGAATATTTGAAGCCAGTATTAGAAGATGACCTTTTGCTTCAATTTGGTAAGATGAACATATTGTATCTATTTTAATTAATATAGGACCATCTGTTGTAGAAAAATGGAAGTGAAGTGTTTTAGGAAAATGTACAGATAGTTTCCCTGTCTTTGGTGTTGCTTTCCTTGGTTTCAGTTACCTATGATCATTTGCAATCCAGAAATAGTAAAAGGATAATTCAGAAATAAACCTAAGTTCTAAATTGTGTGCTCTCCTGAGCAGCATGACTTAACGTCGTGCCATTCAGCTCTCTCTCTGTCCTGAAATTTATATCATACACCGTCTACACTTCCTGCCCTTTAGTCAGTTGGTAGCTATTTTGGTTGTAGAATGTATTTATTGGATTATCACAGTGCTTGTGTTCACATAAACTCCTTTTGAGAGAGAGACCATTTTCTTAATGACTTTACTATAGTATTGTTTTATTAGTTAACCTCTTACTGTTTCTGATTTATAAATTAAACTTTATGATAAATGTGTATATAAAGGAAAAAACAGTATGTAGGATTTGGTACTACCTTCAGTATCAGTCATCCTCTGGGGGTCTTAGAACATATCCTCCATGGATAAGCAAGGGATTTTTTTTTTTTTTAATTCTCTAAAGATCTCATCAGGTAGTTAAGAAAAGTTAAATCACTTGGAAACTGATACAGTTTTTTTTCCCAATAATTATCTGTATTTTAATATAAGATAGACTATGATAAGGTACGTGAAAAGTAGAAAAGATTACAAATCGGAAAAGGAAGAAGTTATTCAGATCAATGATAGATATTTATTGAATGTTGTGTGTTGATTACTTTGAATATAGAGCAATAGAACTTTTAACTATCCAAAAGTATATTAGTTTAGGGTTTTTTTAGCCATAATTCATAATGTGGTAATGATACCTGCCAGAGAGTAAATACTTAATAAAGGAGAATTTATTGTCATTAGTAAATGAACAAGTTCCACAAGAGTTTTTGTGAAGTCATAACCAAGATCTGGAGTACTTAGTGAGGTCTGTTAAAAGAAGTAGAACTTGAAATGGGTATGGTCTTCTAACAGTCTCTGTTGTAGCCATTGGTGAGTTGGAAGAGACATTTGTCGTCATTCTTGCTGCAGGCATGACTACTGACCATTTTACCTCCATTTGTGTTATGGTTTGAGTATGCATTGTTACCCTCCCCATACCTGTGTTTCATGCAGAAGTGTTCAGAGGTGAAGGATTATATTATGAGAACTGCGACCTACCAGTCCATCCTGATTTGAATGGATTAAGTGGGTGGGGGCTATATAGGTGGGGCTATACTAGTTGAGGATTGCTAGGGGAAATGATCCCTGAGGGTGGGCTTTTGGGTTTTTATTTTTTTCCCTGGCTCTTCCCACTGTCTTTCTGCTTTCCTGCTGGTGTGGCAAGAAGAGCAGCTTTCTTCTGCCTTGCCCTTCCACAATGGTGTTCTAAATAGGTTTCCGTGGATGGAACCTCTAAAATCATTAGCCTAAAATAAAGATTTTTTCCTCTAAGTTGCTCTTACCTTATGTTTTGGTCACAGATGAAAAGCTGACTAACACAACTTGCTTTCAATAAATAGTTATGGAAGCATCCGGTAAGTATTTGGCTTAAAAATTATAAAGATGACTAAATTAGTGAAGGAGACAACTAAGAAAATCGGAAATAACTGTGGTTTAAGGAAGAAAAGTCAACTTTACAGTGAAAAAACCTGGTAAACGCTGCCTTAACCAAGGAATCAATGTGATATCATATTAGTGATATATATCCTTAATTTGATATAATGGGTATGACACTTTACCTGTGTTTCTTCCTTACAAAAACCAGTAATTCAAGTCTAACTAAGAAATCAAAAAAGTCACAAATTGTTCATTCTCTATACTACCTGACCAGGATTCCTCAAAATAGTCAAGTTAGCAAAAATAATGAAAGCCTGAGAAATAAAAGTTTGTATAATAATTGGAACAGGGTCCATATAGGATTAATATCCATAAAGAATTAAAAATTCAGAGACAAAGGACCGAATATTTGATAGAATATTGGGAAAAATGATCAGGTAATTCATAAAAAAGGATATGAAAATAGTGTGAAACTTATGAGGGAATGTTCAGAATTACTCAAGAGACATGCAAATTAAAACAACATATCCTACCTTCCAGACAAAAAAGTTTTGAAATAATACATTCTATTGATGAGGCTATGGATAGATAGGCACTCTTGTGTTGCTAGTAGAATGGAAATTTTATAGTACTTAGTAAAACTGGTTTTTCGTTTTATCTTTCATTTTTTTCTTTTTGGTAGTGCTAGAGAATGAATATGGAGCCTTATTGGTGCTAGGCAAGTGTTCTACCTTTTCTCATTTTTTTAAGACACTATTTTTCAAGTTGCCCAAGCTGCTCTTGAATTCCTGATCCTACTACCTTAGCTTCCTGGTCACTGAGATTTCAGGTGTGCAACATGACACCCAACTTGTACATACTTAATAACAAAATCACTCATAAGAATCTATATTGAAGATACACCTTCTCATTCTGAAAATACATAAACACAGAGTTATTCTTTGCAGCATTATAATTCCAAAATATTGGAAATAATCTAAATGCCCATATATTGGAGAGTGGTTGAATATACTGTGGTATACCCACACTGTGGAGTACTATATACCTCTTAAAAAGAACTGATATCTTGTGAGTTGATACATAATGATACCCAAAATATAATGATAAACAAAGTCAAAGCTCAAAAGAAAATAATATGCTGTTCTTTTTATGTTTACTGACTCTTCTTCTCAAAGTTCTAAGTTTAACCTTTAATAAATGATTACTCAAATGATTAATGTTAAAAAATTATTATGGCTAATTTTTACTGAAGCAGAAAGCAAAACAGAAACTTGCCAAAGAGTTTGAATAATTTCAAAAGCAAAATACAAAGTGAGGATTGTAGTAAGAAGTAGAAAATATGTACACCAAATTTTTGTAGTTTGGACATATTTTGTTGAACTCTTTAATTTTTAGTGAAATAGCAAAGGAATCTGTCATTTTTAAATGTAATGACTCAATATTCTATGAGAGTGGCTAGAGATTTGTGACATAGTGCATTGCATTTGTAACAGTAGTTCATCTTTTAGTTATATTATTGTGAGTTTGTTAAGCATAGCTGTTTTGTCTTAATGCTTTTATTATTTTTATTTATTAGTACCAGGGATTGAACCTGCAGGGCTTAACCACTGCATGATATCCCCAACCCTTTTAATTTTTTTTTTTTTTTTGAGGCAGGTTCTCATGAAATTGCTTAGGGACTGGCTAAGTTGCTGAGACTGGCCTTTAATTTGCAATCCTCCTGCCTTAACCTTCCAAGTCACTGGGATTATAGGCATGTACCACCATGCTTAGCTTATTTTGTCCCAGTTCTGAAGAGGTGTCTTCATAAGCTCTCAGAACCAGAAACAAATAGAGTTTTAAAAAAAAGTCATTTGCTGCAGTCTGGCTGGGCACAAATAATAATAAAAAAAAAAACCCTACAAAGCCTTGTAGGTTCAAACACTCACTAGTACTCTACACACACTTCCTGGGAACACACTCCCTCCACCAGGCTCAGCTGGCCAATTCTCCCAGAACACCCCTCCCCCCCAACTCAATGGAACTCCAAAGTGGTGGGCTCCCCAGGCAGCAGGATCTGCTCTAATCCTGGAGCAGGGTCACCTTTCAACCATTCCCTCTAGCAAAATGCCAGGCGTCATTCCGATTAAACTGTGGCTCTCAACAGTCATTTCTTCCAGTGCTGTACCTAGAAAATGTAATATTTGCATTGCTTATTATTGGTTTTTTGTTATTGTTTATTATTGCTCATTAGACCTCCAAGTGGACATTAGGATTTCACAAGCTCCTTGTTTAACTTTTTTTTTTTTGGTGGAAGCTGGGTGTGTAGTGGGGATTGAACTCAGGGGCACTTAACCACTGAACCATTTCCGCAGCCCTTTTTTGTATTTCATTTAGTGACAGGGTCTCACTGAGTTGCTTGATGACTCCCTAAATTCTGAGGTTGGCTTTGAACTTGAGATCTTCCTGCCTCCTGCCTCAGCCTCCTAAGCTGTTAGGATTTCAGGATGTGCTACCTTGCCTAGCTCTTTATTTAACTTTTGATTGTGGAATTATTTCTTCAATAGAAGTTACTGTTTTATATATGATGAAATTAAAATTAAATTAAGAGTTTGCTATTAAGAATTCCAGTATTTAATAATATCAGTAATAAAATGTTAGCTTTTAGATTCTACTCTTAACCTTGCCAGGATGAAAAAATTATTGAATATATAGAATTCTTTGTCTACTAATTCTCCTTAAAGAATATCTTTTTTTTTCTCCACATGTATTAAGGTATAATTGATAAATGAAAATTTTATACATTACTGAAAGTTTGTACCTTTTAACTAACATCTACCCACCCATCTCTCCATCCCTCAGTTCCTGATAATCACAATTATACTTACTACTTCTGTGAGGTTTTTTTAGATTCCACATGTGAGATCATGTGGTATTTGTCTTTCTGTGTCTGGATTATTTCACTTTAATAATGTCCTACAGGTTCATCTATGTTGTCACAAATGCCAGGATTTCTCTTAAGGGAATACCTAAATGCTGTTCTACAGATAAGGACACAGACTCTGAGGTGGCATTTGTAATGATAATATCATGGGCTAGGAAGATGGGTGTGGGTTTGAATGTTAGCTCTTCCATTAAACATCTGTATGACTGTGTCACCTTTTCATTGCTGTGACCAAAAAACCTGACAAAAACAACTTGGAGAAGGAAAAGTTTTGGACTCATGTTTCAGAGGTTACATCCATGTGTGGCCAGCTCCATTGCTCTGGCCTTGAGTGGAAGAACATCATGGCTGAAAGGAATGCTCCACTCATGGCAGCCAAGGATCAGAGAGAGCCAGGGACCATGGACTAGATATATAATTCCCCCAAGGACCTACTTCCTCCAGCTATGCCCTACCTGCCTTATGTTACCACACAGAAATTCATTCAAATTGTTAATCCCTCATATGGAAGAATCTGCTGTCTAATCATTTGATCTCTGAACTTTCCGGCATTGCCACATGAACTTTTTTGAGGGACATCTCATACCCAAGCCATAACAACTTTGTGCGAGTCAGAGTTATTATTTGACTTTATAAATGGCTAATCATTTAGTTTTTCTGAAATTTATTTTTTCTGTGTTTAAAATATAGAGATAAATATTTACATCTTTGGTTTGTTTTGAAGATGAAATGAGATGTACATCTGCACTAACTGGTAATCAATACCTATTAAGGTTTTTTTTTTCCTACTTTTTATTCTTCCTATATTTGGTTCAATATAATTGATACCTTTATGTTTTCAATTTAGCTAACTAATGGAAAACAGACTAACAGCATATTCTTTTTAATTCAAATTGAAACAGTTTGGATGTTAAGTATTTAATTAGAAGTACTTTTATTATTTTTTTCTCAATTGGCAATGTAATAGATACTTAGAATACATATATATAATTCTAACATATTTATACTCATTTCATTGCTATGAGATGGCCTGATGAAAATGTCCCTTTATTTTTTTTAGATGTGGAAGACCTTTATGAACCAGCATCAGTTCCATTCTCATACCCCAATGGACTCAGTGAAAGTACATCTGTTGTTGAGAAATTGAAACATATGGAAGCCAGGGCGCTGTCTGCTGAAGCTGCGTTAGCTAGAGCACGTGAGGATCTGCAGAGAATGAAGTAATTTATCAGACTTACAGAAAATTGTTGTTAGATCCTTCAGATCACATAGCTAATGGCAAGGTAGAATATAGAACACTTCATATACGAGAAAACACAATGAAGAAATTAATTTTGGTAGCATTAATGATATGCAGCACTTTTGTATAGTTTGGATAAAGTCAATTAATGTAAAATTTTATGGATTTATCTATTATATAGTTCATAATTATTTTTATATTAAAGGTGATTGTTTTGACAGAGTTACCCTTCAAATGCTTTTAATGTCTTCCTTTCAATTTTCCTATTTCCTATTGATTTCTTCATTTTACTTTTCCTATCATAGGTTTTTAAAAGTGGAGGCATTAATACAGTTTAGGTTTGGGGGAAATTACAGTGTTGAAATTTTTGTTTTTAAGGAATAAAGTATAATGTAGGGCAGGGGTTGTGTCTCAGTGATAGAGTGCTAACACGTGTGCGGTTCTGGGTTTGATTCTCGGCACCACATACAAATAAATAAAATAAAGGTCTATTGACAATTAAAATATATATATGTATGTATATATATATGTATATGTGTGTGTGTATATATATATTTAAATATATATATAATGTAGTATTTAATACAAAATCAGGAAAGTGGAGGTTGTTTTCTAGTGAGTAAGTTAATATTCTAGTAGTGTTGCGCTTTTCAGAGTTTAAGTGCATATCAATCACTTGGGATTCTTGTTAATGTAGATTCTAATTTAGGAGGTCTAGAATAGGGCCTGAGATTCTTGCTCCAAGTCGATGGGATTACAGGTGTATGCTATTGTGGCTGGCCTGATATTCTGTATTTTTAACATGTACCTCAGAGCTTTACCTGGTGGATTTATGAGTCAGCTGCCATTGCCTAAGTACCTATTTGATGGTTTGCCAGAAATGTCCTGCATGACAGAGGAGAGTCAGTTTTAGTTCTTCCTTGTTTCTGATTTTTATGCTTGGGAACCTTTTAACCAACACTGTCTCTACTTGCCTCTCCTTTGTATTTCTCTCCTTTGAATATTGTACGGATTATTAGTTTGTCATAATCAGTAAAGTAGCTGAATTTTAGGGCTGGAGTAGGTAGTGTTAGATATACTACATGTAAATAGTTATCTGTTTGGGTCTGCTATCTGCCTGTTTAACACATGGTTTTAAAAATTATTGTGAGTTAAAATATACTACATGATTCAGCTGCTAAAAAAGGTTATTTTAGAACAACAGAAATGATAAATTTGAAGAAAGAAAATGTGCTTGTTTGCTTAGTGAAAGAAAGAACCATCTGCAGTTGGCATTGCTTTTGTGGATTGCACAAGGAATGCTCACCGCTGGGTTTGAGTATGCCACAGCTTAAGATCCAGCAGGGGGAGCTTTGGGTTGCTTAAGAGACATGGTGATTTAGGAGGCTCATCACCCTCTCTACCCCTCCCCCTTCCTCTTCCTCAACCTCTAGCCTTTCCTTTTTTCATGGTCCAATAAACCTGTCTCAAGGGTGTATTTCAAATTGATTACAGACAATTTGCTCAGGATTTTGTGATGAACGCAGATGTCAGAACCTGCTCGTCATCTACTGCCATTGCAGACCTCCAGGAGGATGAGGACGGTGTTTATTTCAGCTCATACGGGCATTATGGGATACATGAAGAAATGCTAAAGGTTAGAAAAGACCACAAATCTGCCACATCCATACTAAAGGAAAAAATAGAACAGGGTTTTCCTTAATACACAAGAACACTTTTTTCCCCCCTGTAAGAACAGCTTTTTAAATCTCTTTGGTGTTTAATAGCTCATCTTGTGATAGAAGGATTATAGAGCCTCAAGATCATTGTAAATTATATTTAGGACATTGGCAAAAACTGCTTAATGATTTTGGTCTTTTCAAGAGTAACTATTTATATCAAATAGAAACAATTATGCTATTATTTTTTAATCTGAAGAAAATGATTAATTTTAGTGTGTTAAATACCAATGCTTAATTGGGGCAAATTTTTGATATAAAGTTTAATAATAATTCTCATAATTGTTATGATATGACTTTTACACTTGATATCATTGATACATAGGAATATTTCCTAAATTGGTCAAATAAGATATTTAAATCTGGTTGATTTTAATTTTCAAAATGATAATGTCTAATTATAGAAGTCAAGTTCTAGCTGTACCTGGCAAGTATATGTTTTATCAAGTATTATTTGAAGTAGCAATATTTTTAGTTTGGTTAAACTGAAAATACTGGCTGGCATGGTTTTATATACCTGTAGTCCCAGCACCTGGGAGACTGAAGCAGAATTCCAGGGCTAGCCCGGGCAATATAATGAGATCCTATCTCAAAAACAAAACAAAACTTGAAAATATCTAACTAGCATAAAATTATTGTTTGATTGTGAAAGCTATGTAAATTTTCTGATAATTATCTCTGGGGATTTTAGATGTCACCCTTACCTTCAAAAAAAAAGAAAAGAAACAAAACCAGGGGCTGGGATTGTGGCTCAGTGGTAGAGTGCTTGCCTAGCATGTGTGAGGCCCTGGGTTCAATCCTCAGCACCACATTAAAAAAATAAATTATAAAAAAAAAAAAAAAAAAAAAAAAAAAAACCAGTCAACAAAAGTCCCTTCCTAAATTCTTTCTCCAAAGATTATTTTATTTAATGGAAGTCCTAAAACTAGGTTTCCCTGAAACATGCATTTTTAGATAGCCAGGGATATTTTATAACATTTATTTGTGGTGTTGAGTCAGTTTTGCAGAATGAAAGTGGAAGATATAATTATTACAATTATAATTATGTAGGGGCTTTTAAAGCAATGTCATCTCATTACTAATTAAATGTCATGGTTGTGCTTTTTGTTGTCACTTGGGTAATAGCATAAAATTATAAATAATAGCTATCTTGTAAGTAATAAATTATTTTAAGTCCAGTAAATTTGCTTTAAAAAGTGGACTTAACTCCATTTTCTTTGTTCAGTTAATTTTATTATTTGTTAATTTTATTATTTTATTGTTCAAGTTAATTCTATTATTCATTCTTTTTCTTTTTAGGTGCTAGGGGTTGAACCCATGGGTGCTTTTTGCTAAGTTGGCCATGGTGGCCTCAAACTTGAGGTCCTCTTGCCTCAGCCTTTGAATAGCTGAAACTGCAGACATGTGATAGAACATTTTCTTTAAAGAAATTAATCTAGACCCATGTTGTGTTTGTCATTTTAAATCACCCCATTAATTTAAATGATATAAACCTTTGGTATGGTACTTGTGTTGGCTTTTTCAGACAAGTAAAGGTAAAGTGTTGTCAGTTTAATTATCAAGGAAATCCATTTCAAGCATTGACAAATCTCTGTCCTGAATATTTGTATCTTTATGTCAATAACTAGAGAATCTTCACACCTGACCATGTATCTTTAAGTCCTTTTGGAATACATGTAGATTTAAGAAGTTTCAAAAAAAGAAAAGAAAAAATAATTCCAAGTTGAAGATTCCAGTGGCATCTGTACCCTTTTAGAGAATCACTTAAAAATTCTTATTGACATTCTCTGTGCCTTAGTCTCCCTTGGCTGTTGTGCAATGTAATTATCGTAAGGATTATTCTGTTTCTTACCAGAACAATTACCTACCACTAGAATATTACCTAATTTTTATTAAGTAATTAAAAATTGAGAATCCCTATTTATTTATTGGCATTACAATTCTTATTACACATATAAAACACAATTTTTCATAAAGTATGTTTATGCCAATTTATGCCATTATACATGTACTTTGTTTTTTTTTTCAGAAACCCTATTTATATAGGACTTATTTTTATGCTTAAATTGGCTTTGCTTTGATAGAATATGATTTGGATTTTCTGTTGGCATGTGTTTTGATTATAACATTTATTAGTAGTTTGTGATCTTATTTTTTTTCTTTCTACAATTTTTATTGGTACATTACAGTTGTACATAATGAAAAGACTTGAATATATACACAATATAACAATATAATTTGGCCAGTATCACTCCCTATCACCCTCCTCTCTAGCTATCACCCTTAGTGCCTTTCCTCTGCTTATCTCTCCTTGATTTTCATGAGATCCCCACCCACTATTTCTTCCCCTTTTATTTTTTATTTTGCAACAGGGTCTTGCTGAGTTTTAGCTCAGGGTCTTGCTAAATTGCTGAGGCTGGCTTTGAATTTACAATCCTCCTGCTTTAGCCTTCAGAGCTGCTAGGAATACCAGTGTGTGCCACTGTGTCCTGCCCAACCCCTTATTTCTTAATTTAAGATGAAGATACCTTTTTTGAATTCCAGAGATATGGTTGAAAATCGATTGCCATTTTCTGTTACTTTTAGCCTCATTCTTAATTTTGTTTATATGTATTGATGTGTTTGGTTTTTGTTAGAATAAATTTTTAGAAGGATTGTGGTTAGTTTTTATTTGCTTGCATTTTAACATTTACTACATTTTTTTTCAAAAATTCAGTTTAAATTGAAGCTCTGTTAGATGCAGGGTACTGTGTTTGGCATACTTTGGATTTCATTGCATTGGGGTAAGCATATGAACAAAATCATATGAATATATAGAGAGAGCCAGAATGAAAGATTATAGTTCACTCGAGCAGCTGTGCGTGGAGTTGGGACATCAGTGGGATTCTATTGATTAAATTGGTGTGAGGCAGGGTGATTGGTGAGAGCTTTCCGAGTGACTGCAATCATGACTGATGTGCACCCTCTGTAGGTTTTCTTGTTTCAGCAAGGATCACCTGTTATAGGATGAGAAGAGTATAAAAAAGATAAAAATGTTTAAAATGGTATGGTTTAAAAAAGGACCATTTGGAATAAGCTTAGATAATTGGTTAATTTATTTAAACGTTTAATATGTTTATTAGTATCTCTTAGTAATTCTTAAACTTAAAATCTAAAAGCCTCAATATTGACATGAAAATGTTTTTTGAGGGGTATGGTTTGTATAACATTTTGATAATATTGAAATTTATTGTAATTGTAGTTGTTACTTGGTATCCTTGGGGGATTGATACCAAAACCCACAGAGGATAACAATCTGCAGATGCTCCTGTCTCTTATATAAAATGATGTGGTGTTTGCATACAGTCTACCCACATCCTGCTCTATACCTTTAAGTCATCTCTGTTTTATTTATAATGCCTAGTACATTGTAAATGCTATGTAAAGAGTTATGCATTATTTTTAAGGGAATCATGACAAGAAAAGTCTTGCACATGTTCAGCACAGATGCAATTCTTTTCTTTCTTTCTCTCTCTCTTTTTTAATGGTATTAGTATTTAACCCAGGGGAACTTTACCACTGAGCTTAATTTCCCAGCCATTTTCTTTCTTTTTTTTTTTTTTTTTTTATAATTTTGTGACAGGGTCCTACTCAGTTGCTGAGGATGGCATTGAACTCTTGATCCTCGTGCCTGACCCTCCTTAGTAACTTGGGTTACAGATGCATGCCACTGTGCCCAGAGTTATTATTTGTTTTAAATATTTTCTGTCTTCAATTGGTTAAAACCTCAAATGTGAAACCCATAGATACAGAGGGTCAACTACTTTTTTTTTTAACCTATTGTGAAACCCTCAACTAGAATTCTCATTTTGTTATATTTAATTTTACCAAATTTTGTCATATTTTAGTTACTTGGCAGCAAGTAACTAAAGACTCTGTGTGTCTCAACTTAGGAAATGAACTCTGTTCATGAGCCATTGTAAATGTTAGAATGTTGAATGCCTACCTTGGTCACAGTTCACATGGACTTGAGAGTATAGGATCTTATAATGTGAGCTGCAGGGTTCAAATGATTTACTTTCAGGTTTCAGGCTTTTAAGCATCATTTCCTACTACAGAAATTTCTAGAAATAAAATGGGATTATAAATCAGATAGGCACTGATGATGATTTTCTTAGAAAAACATGTTCAGCTTAGCTTCATTTTTCATGTGCATCTGCAACTTTTACATTTATCTGTTTTGTTTCTTTCCTTATTTTAATAGAGCTGTAGAGCCGGGAGTTGGGCTTCACATTCCAGGCCCTACTTAAATGATCAAAATAATCTTTTGGTTTTAATTATCACTTGAAGTTCTATAATGATAATGCATGTAGAGAGAAAAATATAAACATTTTTAAAAGAATGTGGATAGATCTTATTTGACTTTCAGTGTTTTTTAAACAAATGCTTTCTTTGTGTTATTGCTATTCCTATTCTTATATCGTTTTCTTTTTAGGAAAAAAAAAAGCTTGATTTTCTAGGTTGACTGTAGCTGTAGAAACTAGCAATGTGTCATAAAATGGCAAAAATCTTCCAAAGATTTTTTTTATTTATTCACAATGCCCTATAAACATGATGTTTTCCTCTCTCCTGCAGGACAAAGTACGAACAGAAAGCTACAGAGATTTTATATATCAAAATCCACATATCTTCAAAGACAAGGTGAGTAGCTTGGCTAATAGAATTGTGCATTTCATGTTGTTCTTGAGCAGTAAAAATCCCCTTTTTAGTCATCAGTGTGATAGCGGTTGATTTAACATACCCGGGCTTTATTTCATGGAAGACTTTTACAATGCTACTCTATGGTGCAAGATTCTGATAACGAAAATGCTGATTGGTGCTGTCAGTCAATATAGTGTTTTTTAAAATTGAAAGTCATTAATTATTGTGACAGAGCCTTTGTAAACTTTGTTTATCCAGATAATTTATAGTAATTCCTGTGAATTTTAAATTTATCAGATAAGCCCCATATCAAGTCACAATCAGATAAACCCATATCATTAATCTAATTCATGGTAAGTAGTTAAAAGTAATAATCTTAAGAATGTATTAGTAAGCAGAGTTAAATATTGTAAGGTAGAATTCATTTAAATACTTTCTTTTAATAACCTTATTAATTTACCCCTGTATAAGAAACTTTATATTTTATAGTTTTAATACTTATTTATTTCAAAGGTGATAGCATGTATGTACATGTTTGACTTTTGTATCATTTGCTCTTCCTTCTGTATGAATCTTTAACTTTTTCATCTCTTCCTCCTTTCCTCCTTCCCTTTTGCCGTCTCTCTCTACATTGATGTGATTATTTGAAAGTTCAGGTTTTCTCTTTTTTTTCCTCTTCATTATAAATAATTTAGTCAAAAATTATGATCTCTGCCATTTATATACCTTTGCTTGGGAATGTTTCCATATGCTTCTTATTTCAAGAATATGTATATTGAGAACATATCAGGATTTTATAAAGCCTTTTTCATTTCCATTTTAAAAGATCCTTCTCTAAAATTACTTCATAGGTTTTACATAATATTAGCAACAGTGAATAAACCTTTTTTTTTTTTTTTTGAGAACCACTTTTCTTACTTTTTATGCTATTTGGGATATAATCTGGACTGCCTTTTACTTTTTGTATATCTTTCCTAAAAAGCAGTTTCACTTGTGACTTAGCTTAGAGAGGAATGTCCTAAATTTATATTGTGCTCTGATATCTTTTGTGCAAAGAATTACCCATTGTGAAAGATTTATAATGGTGTGTGTTTTGCTGATTCCTTTCATAGACAAGTAAATTGTTTTTATTTTTAAAATTGTAGTTACTATCAGTTCTTTGTACATAGCTCTTTTGTTTGTCTTATGTTATTTTAGTGGAGACTAATCATTTTTTCAATTTTTATGTTTGTACTCATGCTAGAAACAATTTAGTATGTATTTTTTAAAAAAACACTTTGTTTATAGTGATGCAAATTATGTTAGTAGTAAATATTTTTTATTTCTATTTGAATTATACCCAGATTTTTATTTTATTCTTAATAAATTATGTAGAAATGAAGTATATATTGATCTGGGAATTGCTAATGTTGGCTAATCAGGAACCAGATATATGATATCTGGCAAGTGATATCCTTTTGAGCCTTATCTGTAAAAATTTTCAAATCCATTTTGATTGGCTTTGAGCCCTCTTCTCTCAAAATTTCATGATATGAGTACTGAGGAATTTAAGAAAGTAAGTTGGAGCTTTTTTCTTGTGTGCTCCCGAGTAGACTTTTGTCTTGTAATAGGTAAGATAATACGGAAAGGGCTCAAGTATTAGTAATCATAAAGTTTAATTATTTGAAAATTAAGTATTTGTGGATATTCTGTAAATGTACAACAATTCTTACTGAGTTCATAGAACTGAACTTTTTTGCTTCTAGTTTTTAGTTATGACAGTATTATGTATGTTACATATTTTAAAGTACCATGAAAAACACTAACCATTTAATTACTTTGTTTGTTTCCACGTGTACCTTTTACTAAGTGAGAGAACATGCCAGAATAGAAAAAGGGCTTGTTAATAAGTTCAGAGTGTTTTCTTTTGTACTTTACCTAAAATGCTTGTTGTTTTTTTTTTAATCACTCCATGATGAGTTTTGTTTGCCATTTATTGCTTCTCGAAAGTATACTGTAATGTAAAATATTTTACATTTTTAATTTTTTCTTATTTTTTAGTACTGGGGATTTCTTTTAGTACCAGGTTTACTTTACTACAGAGTTACATCTACGGACCTTTTTATTTTTTATTTTGAGACAAGGTCTCACTAAGTTGCTTAGGGCCTTGATAATTTGTTGAGTCTGGGCTTGAATTTATGATCCTCATGCCTCAGCCTCCCAAGTTGCTGGGATTATAGGCATGTGCCAGCATGCCCAGCTCAGTTTTTCACTTCTTAAAGCACATTTTTGAAAGGATTTTCTAAAATTAACAAATAATCTAGAGCTTTTGTTTTGTTTTGTTTTTGAAAAATTAGTAAAAATAATATGTATTTATTACACTGTAATTTAAAACATTAGAAACATAATGAAGGTGTTTTATTTCTGTATAGAAAGCTTATCAGAAGTAGTTGGAACAGTCCTTGCTTTCTATATGATATAGAACATGCATTTTTTCTGTGCCTTCATAAATTTTGTATATTTAAATGATTCATGATTCATTTATTAAACTATAGCTAGATTTAGAAAATATAATACCATATATTTAAATAGCATTTGATAATTTATAGATAATTTTCAGACATGTTTTTCTTTGTCACTATGTAATATACTTATATCTAGGCAGTACTTACCTCCATTTTACATGTAGTATGACTTTATTTCAAACCAATAGATTAATTGACTGTTTCAAAACACACAACTAAAAACCCTAAGGCTTTTTTACTCTAGTGTCCTTTCCCCTGTTACCACACTTTGAGTACCAGTACATTAATATAGAATGAGTTAGGAATTGGGGTGGGACCCATTAGCTACCTACTAATTAACTTTATTTCTCATATATGTATATATATATATATATTATATGATTTTTTGCCATAACAGGATATGATCATAAATTATTTAAATATAATTTATTTACAAATTTATGAAGTTACAACAAAGTTCTTCCTAAATTTACTACTGTTACTCTACTTTTATCACCATTAGATAAAACAAACTTGGTATCATAGCACCAGCATCTATATCACACAGGAGAGGTTTATTTTTCAAAAAGTGCTTGAAATGAAAATGTTTTTCTTCCTTTCTTCATTTATTCGTCTCTCCCTGTCTCCTTTGCTTTCTTCTATTCTTAATATTGTTTCAGTTCACAAGCTCCTGTGGGGACCATATGGTATCTCAAATTAATTTAACTTTGGGTAGCTTTTAATCCTGTTTTTACCCACTTGTAATTAATTCTATTTGTAGTCCATTGAGAAAGTTCCCAGTTAGGTGCCTTTTTATGCTTCTGGTTATTATCTACAGTTATAATTGGTTCATTTTTTTTCTTTCTTTCTTTCTTTTTTTTTTTTTTAAGGAAAATCAACATCTTTATCATTTCATTAAATAACTTTGATTTTGTCAAGTTTTAGTGTATCTGCTGAATTTTGGGTTATATGTAATAAAGTACAATTTAAAATATAATTAAATTATAGGCTTTATTTTTTTTCTTTAATTTTTATTGTTGGTTGTTCAAAACATTACATAGTTCTTGACATATCATATTTTACACTTTGATTCAAGTAGGTTATGAACTCCCATTTTTACCCCGTATACAGATTGCAGCATCACATCGGTTACATATCCACTGTTTTACATATTGCTATACTAGTGTCTGTTGTATTCTGCTGCCTTTCCTATCCTCTACTATCCCCCATTCCCTCCCCTCCCATCTTCTCTCTCTACCCTATCTACTGTAATTCATTTCTCCCCCTTGTTTTTTTTTCCCCTTTCCCCTCACTTCCTCTTGTATGTAATTTTGTATAACCATGAGGGTCTCCTTCCATTTCCATGCAATTTCCCTTCTCTTTCCTTTTCCCTCCCACCTCTCACCCCTGGTTAATGTTAATCTTCTCATGCTAAAATTATAGGCTTTAATAGCAGATCGACCTATGTTTGAATATAAGCTATCTAATTTACCAGCTGTATGATCATAAATCTGTTTTTTTACTCTCTGAAGCTCAGTGTTCTCATTTGCAAAATGAGAATTAAATGAAAATCATACATATGTGCACTCATGTATATACATATGCATTATATATGTATGTGTAGTTTCATAGAAAAAACATTTAATTGAGGTATCATACACACACCCTTCTGTATTGTTCTTCACTCAGAAATTTTTTCATGGAGATCATTTGTTATGAACCTTCATTTTTTTTTCTGCCAAAGGCCAATGTCTCGGCTTGGCACCAGAATCACGAGGCACTCACAGCTTTGTAGGTTCAAACAGCAATTCTTTATTCCAGCTCTCACACCGCCTCCACACAGGTCCAGGGGCAAACGTGTTCTGCCGTCTCCCACACAATTCACCTACTACAGGAGGCTATCTCCAAATCCCATTTTAATCTCACGAGAACTCAACGGGAACAAGCAGCAGGAACACCCTAATCCCAGCAATAATCTTCAACCTCTAACTTCCCTAAAACCCATTATCTTAAACTGGCAACGCCTTAAACTCAAGGAGCCGGTTACTTCCTCAAACCTGATCAGCTCTAAACCTGGATCCGCCTTGGTCCTTGAGCAAGGTCACCTTATTAAAGCACGCATGCAATGTCCCATCGAATGTCCTCTAAGCAGCATGGGGTACGCTTGGCAAGGAAATTTCGATGCGTCATTCCTACTTGGTAATGGCCCTCAGTATTTTTCCTCAGTTTTTTTTTGATAGTAGATGTTGAGTATCTTTTTACTAACATTTTTTAATGATTTATACATCCAATGTAGGAATGTCCATAAATTGTTTCAGTTTTTATTTTAGAAATAATATTGCATATAATAAAAATATTTCTTATGTACGTAAGTACAATTTAAAATTAATTCCCAGCAGAGGACTCTCAAGAGTCTAAAAGGGTATACCCCTGCTTGGTGTTGGTGCTGCTATCTTGTTTTTCCATAAATTGTATGCGAATATGATGATCTTCGTATACACCATTGCCAAAGCACCA